AAGTGCAGCCGACCACGCAGCAAGCTAAAACCATTTTACTGTCAAATCAACTAAATAAAAGCGATAAAAGGCTACAAACTGGCTTGTTTTGACTACCTTCACTGGAGTTTCTATGGGTGTAAACGGTCTTTTTGCCGTCCATCATGGTGAAGGGGGCGGTCACATGAGTGGCGTAACGTCACGTGCAAAGGGTCAATATTCCTACAGATGAATGAAATTTAGAACGTTCATTAAAACGGTCAAAATCCTGATTTATCAGACGTGGTGGCCATTCGTATGCATGTTCCTTTGCAATTCACTGATAAATTTCAACTGTGCATACCCAGTTGCTTGTGCCTGTTCAGTCATTTACATGCAAAAACGCCCTCAATTAACGTTATTTGGTCACACCACATCCTCAGCATATTGGGGATTCCCTGTATTCCTACCGGGGAAAAAAATACTTTATTGATGAGATCAAGACACTGGGTGCAGAAGTAGAAGAGAACCAATCAAGTTGGTTACAGAGGTTGTAAATGCAGTCAAGACAGAGGAGAGCACCCTGTCAGAAATAAATAAAAATGGTTTCACATAAAATTGAATATGATAAATCGTAACGGTTTGTCATTTACATTTAAGGTGTTGTTGTTAGTTTTATTTGGAAATGTCTGACACTGCAGCCTCTTCTGAGCAGTCATTCATTCTGGTTACCTTGGCAATGCGTCATTTATGATGGGGAAGCAGAAGAGGTTCTGGGGGTTCTCGTAGTTGTAAAATAGAATATGGACTGGAATTGGATTTGTGCGGTTTGTCTGTTGATCCACAAAAGGCCCCAAATCACGGCATAGCTCCAGACGGATCTTTGTCGGGAATTGTGGATGAAGAACATGTGTGGGTAACTGAGACCTTCAGTATTGCGGTTCCCCATTCTACCACTAGATGCTGTTTGTAAGCCTGATCTGAAATTTTCTTATATTAGGGAACATTTCCACGCACAAGTACAGAATGAAGAATAACACACAATGCCAGGATCTTGAAATGAACCCTGAAGTTGACTGGCAACCAGTGAAGCTGGAGGAGAAGCAAAGTGATGTGGATGTGTTTGGAGGATTTGTTTGGCCTCTGACCAAGTCCTCCAAACACACCCACATCACCCTCTTCTCCTCCAGCTTCACTGGTTGCCAGTCAACTTCAGGGTACATTTCAAGATCTTGGTTTTGGTTTTTAGGGCCTTACATGGACGAGCACCATCTTACATTGGTGATCTTCTCAGTCCCTACACCCCCAGCAGGTCCCTGAGGTCCAGTGTGCACTAGAACAAATGTGACAGATTGGGATGCAAGAAAATATCAATATGGCTATATATCATGATATCTTCTTCAGCAATATTATATCGATATTCAAAAGCTGTGTATCTAATTTTTGGAAGAATTTACATGCAAACATTTGTGTATTTTCTTTTCTTTTGGTGCAATTCAAACGCCGACCGCTAATTGGTAGCAGTGTGCCATGGGTTTTGTTTCCACCATGGAAATGTAAATCCCTCCATTATGGTTCAGATACCCAATGTTAAACATGTTAAGTATCAGTTTGGACTATATTGAATTTTCCTATAATAAATTCATTATAAAATTCATTAACTGACTGAAAGTATCACAATATATCGTGATACATTGTATCGTCTCTCCTGTATCGTAATAAGTATTGTATCGCGATAATTTCACCAACACACATCCCTATTGACGGATCATTTGCTGCTGTGGCCCTCAGACCCTGGAACACTCCCCCTTTGAGCCTGAGATCAATGGACTCAGTAGTCTCCTTTAAAATGCAGCTGAAAACTCACCTGTTCAAGCTGGCTTTTGTGTGACCTTCGTCACCACTCTCTTTATTCTGCTCTTATTCCGCATTTCCTGGGATCCACTGATTTCCCTCTTTCCTATTCATTTTCTTTCTCCCTTTCCTTACATTCTTCTTAATCACAATTTTTTTCCTCTCCTTTGAAACATGTTCTTAATTTTTTTTTAAATCTTTTTTTATTCTTAAATTTTCTTTTATTTTTGTGAAGCGCCTCCTGATTTTTATCTTGAGGCGCTATGTAAAAGATTGTTTTAGTTCCTACTCACAGATCTGTGCATAAGTACGGTTGGTAAATGAGGGCCCAGTTGTTTTCAATTAAAACACAAGATCCTCATGTCCAGGATGAAAGAGAATCTGCACTAACGTGCAGCAGCAAGATTCAGTCAAAAGGGAAACTGAAACCCAAATGTAGCTGCTATCTGTTAGCCTGGCAAGCCAGACTAAATAAATGTATTATTTAAGCAATTAACTTTTGCATTTTAGCAATTAGATAAGCAATCTAACAGATTTAAAACATTAAAAGCTTTCAACAGACACAACCATGAACCATTTGGAGCAAGTTTAAGGTGTGTTGGCTTGTTAAGCTCGGGTGCTCGGTTGAGCTGAAAAAAAAATCAAAGCATTAAGATGCAGACATAAACGATTATGAAGAAGCACACTATCATTGCTTATAGCAGCTAGCCATTAGCACCGGCCACTAGCTCGCTGAGTCGCTAAGCGGTCATTGCACGTATTCTCACGAGTATGCTCAATGAGGAAACTGAAAAATTTACCTTAATTATAAGTATACAATCAATTAAAGTTCCTGTGTGTCATTTGAGACTTGTATCTCTAGCTCTCAACTGTGATTACATAGATTTTTGTAGGATTCTGAAATCTTTTATCCTGTTTTCTGTGGAGAGGTATGTTTTTAAGTTGATATATTTTACTAGGGATGGACAATATATCGGCATAAATATTGGTATTGGCCAATGTTGAGTCATTTTTTAACATATCGATATCAGTTCGGTAAATAAAACCGGGTTGTTATTAACAGCCAATATTTTTTCCATCTTGTTTCCATTTGTTTGCCTCTTTCAGAGGGAGAGCAGGGTGATGTGTATTTGTTTAGTCATGTAAACAGTGATTGTAATCATCTCAGAACCGTAAATGTGTGTGTTGTGTGTACATAATAAATAAATTCAGCTTTAATCATTTTAATTCTATACAAAATCTGCTGATTTTAGAAGCATTAATGTCAGCTAGGGCTGGACGATATGGACCAAAACTTATATCTCGACATCTTTTTGCTGAATTCCGATATACGATATATATCTCGATATTTTTCCTCCTGTAAAATATTTACAAGTTAACTCACTTCAAGCTGTCTTGAAAAATTATAGACATAAATCAGTAGATTAAATGGATAAAAATGTATTGATTCTTGTCAAACTTTAACCTAAGTACCTATTCTCAGCCAGTCTGAGCTTTAGAAACACTGATACATCTGTCTGTTAACACACACACACACACACACACACACACACACACACACACACACACACACACACACACACACACACACACACACACACACACACACACACATACAATTAAGAGCTAGAGGTGTATCAAATGTCCCACAGGCACTTTTTAATTATTATTTATAATTGATGCAAACATTTTTTAAATTTCATCTAGAGGTGGCCCATATCGTATATTTCTTGTCCAGAGAGAAAAATAAATATCACGTTAAACTAAACAGAACTCCGTTGGCGTTGAACGCCCCCAAATAATTTAAAACCAGGATGCCAAATGCAAAATTTAGGCCAGCACATTTACCCAGAGGCTCTCAGATTGAGTAAACTTTTGAGAATACATGTAATAGCCGCTTAGAGATGGAGCGACATGTCACTAGCATAGCGGCTAATCGATATTGATATAATGATATAAAGTCCTCTTGGATCTTGTTTAAAAATTATATTATTTAAAAAAATATTGATATCGCCCAGTCCTAATGTCAGTATATCAGTATCGGCAAATATCGGTTATCGGCCATAACAGTGGTCTAAATATCGGTATCGGCCCAAAAATTTCGTATCAGTGCATCACTATATTTTACTGATAATTAACTTCCAAAACGTCTGAATTGTCAAAATATTAAAAAAATCATGATGAAATCGTGATCGTGATTTTGCAAATAAAAAAATCTGTTTTTTCCCCCCATATTGCCCACCGCTAGTGAAAGTCATGTCAAATCTACTGTGTTGAAGCATTTAACGATCTTCTCTTCTTTGCACTGTATTTATCATTGTGAAATGCAAAATCTACTTCATTCTCATGGAGTAAAAGTTCGGCAGACATGTGTTTGTTTGCACTTTTCCTGCTGCATGCTTGCACAGTGTGAAGAAAGACTGACGAATGCCTGATGCTGCACACAGGGTATTTGCAGCCTTCATAGGATAAATGGCAGGTGTTCAGCTGGTACGATCGGCTCTGACAGGCATTGATTAGAATTTGCAGATCATGTATTTGCCCCCGGACCCCCCTTAAGTAGATCATCTTTTTCATGTCTGCTCTTTACAAAGCTTGCTACGCCCCTGCACGCACACATTCTCTTCCTCCTCCATCCCCCTGCTCTCACAGATGGAACGCAGCAGTGAAACTGTCCCGAGCGCGCCCCCCTCCCCTCACGAATGCTGCAAGGCACTGAAACAGTTAATATCCCCAGGGTTTCCGCGATATGTATTTTGTCGTGGCGCGCTGCTACGGCAAATTAAAAGCCACCACACCTTCAGAAGGATAAAAAAAGTAAAACCAACCCGACCAACAGCCCACAACCCCAGTTTCACGAAATCCTAGAGGAAACCCTGACCCCCACCCCCCGCGCGCCCGAGCATCCCCGGCTGGAAACATTTCTAGGTGACACACTGCAGAAACTGGACTTCTTGTGGCATCAAATCATTTCAATGTGATAAAGTAAATGATTGTCATATTTTGGAAAACTTCTGATGTCTTTTGTGATTTGTTCCGTTTTCTGAGCAGTAAGCCAGATAATGATGACAGTGCGGCATTTTCCTGGTCCACTGCTTTTTAAGCCATCTTCCTTTTAAAAGATGTTTAACTTAAAAATCATTATGAAAAAAAAAAAGATGTCTGACCCATTTCTGTCTTTCCTACAGGTGGAATCCTTCATTTTGGACCAGGAAGACCTGGACAACCCCATAATGAAGACAGCGTCAGAGTTGCTTTTGTCCAGCGCCACAGATGGAGTCGATCTGAGGACTGTAGATCCAGAGACACAAGCCCGACTCGAAGCTCTGCTGGAAGCTGCAGGTATGACCATTTTCTGTAAACATAATTCGTCTTTTTACTAAACCTGTTAATATGTCTACAAACAGTGCATTATTGGCCACTTTTCTTAAGCTATAGGTTAAAGTTCACTAACCTAAAAACTAGGGTTGGGCATCAAGCATTGATAGGAACCGGGACCAACTGTTAGTTTTTCACGGAATTGTTCAAAGTTTTTTATTTCGATTCCTAGAATGCCGACCGGAAGAGGAATCTGCAGCCGATCTCCGTGAAAAATAAACGTGATCTGCAAATTGTGATCAACGCTTTTCAGAGCTGATCACACCAGCTGTCTGTGTGCAGCATCGAGTCCCCCTCACCCCACCCAGCGTGCGGCAACCAAATCTAAACAAACGTGTCTGCCGAACTTTTACTTCGTAATGTAAACTTTAACTCCTGCAGTGTAGAGGAAACTTGTTAAAAGACGTCAACACGGTAGATTTAATAGAAGCTTTAAAGAACAAACTCTGGACGGTGTGAGGTGAGTTTGTCTCACTGCAGAAATAAAAACACACACGGAGCGTCAGCAGTCAGACGCAGCCGCTCACCAACGCTCGTGTGTGTGTGTGTGTGTGTGAACGTTAGCGTCAGAAGGCTGAACAATAACCTGTAGAATAATTAGTCAAGCTAGAGCATCTTCTCTGTGGGGGACCACACCAGCTTCTGCCACAATAAATAATTATAATAATAATAATAAATCACACACAAAGTTGTGAACATTTTAATTTCCTTTCTGAACTATTTCTGTTGAGAGTTTTAATGTTTAAAATCTGTTAGATTGTTACTGACAGCAGCTACGTTTAAGTTTCACTTCCTGTCCTGACTGAACGCTGCTGCAGCATGGAGGTGTAGTTCTCAGTCATCCTGGACATGATCATCCTGAGAGTTTTAGCTGAAAACAGCTGGACGTTTCTGGATGTGTTGGAGACATTTAGCCTCTCATCCCAGAGGCTTCTTCCAGACTTTGGTCGTGGTCAGAAACAAACACACTGGTTGTGCTGCAAGTCTTTTTCTTTTTTTCTCCAAAACACGATTTTGTCTAAGTGAAGGTGATGTTGTTGTTCATAGAATTACAATTCATGTTGAAGTTCAGATTATTTCATCATGTAGGACCTGTGGTTAGCTGGCTCATGTAAAGCATGTCATGTCTTGAAAGAATCTGAATCGGGAATCGATAGGAACCAGAATCGAAATGAGGAACTGGAATCGGAATCGTTCATAATTAAACGATGCCCAACCCTAGCAGAGCACGCCCTTCAGCTTGAGATTTGGAAAACTAAAGACCACTTTTGTTTAAATTGGACTTTTTCACAAGTTGACTGTTTTTTTACTTTAATTGACAACTTTTAATCTTTTTGGTCAAATGCCACTAAGAGATCAGAAAACATCTTTTCTTTCATCTCTTTTGTCGCGTTGAAGGCAGCTGATTGTAGTTTGTGGTTACCCACTTCTCTCTGCTCATCTTCTCTTTTCTACTGAGCATGCTTTTAGAGATTGAAGGCATCCAGTAACTCTTAAAACACAATATTTTCATTTACGAGAGCCTGACAGCTCACAGGAGCACACACAAATCAAGCTCTGACAGCTTCTGACTCATCCAAGAGGGAAACCGACTTAGCCGGCAGGTTAGTTCTTGAATGCAGTCTGTTAGCTTGAAGTTTCATCATAGCAGCTGCTTCTTATTTTTTATTTTACAGAAAATTTTTTTTTTTTTTTTTTTTACATATTCTTGAAGCATTTGTCTTGTGCTACAGGACACATCTAAAAAAAATTAGGCTCAAAATTGCATTTCTGAGTATTTCTGCATTCAAATGACTGTGAATCAGTAGCAGATGAAATAATTCAGTCTAACGCCGGGGACACACCGGTCGGAGAAGCGCCGCGAAACGGGGACCGCCTTCATTCGCCGCCCTTGTTATCCTATTCTATAGACCACATGGGCCCCCGAAGGAACTATTTTTCAACCATGATGAGACGTACAGACCTGCCAACCCGTACGTAATTTGGCATCTAACTACGTTGGTATGACTCACCCCTCTAAACTACGTAACTTTTTGTTACAGTTGAGAAATACACAAGTGTCATGTGGTCTACCTTAGATCTGGTCCAGCTCAAAACTACACTTAAGCTTTGTTCACACTGCAGGCCTTGATGCACAATTCCAATTGAGTAAATCTGATTTTTTTTTTTTGTGGCTGTTCACACTATGACCGAAATGCGACATCAAACTCTCTCCAGTGTGAACGCTTCACAGCCCCAAAGCGACCCGCATGTGCAGAGACAAGAAGTCAGTTGAGCTGAAATCAGGAGCGGTAGAGATGTGATGTAATCCTGTGGATAAACTGTCAGTGAAAACTTTCACGCCTGTTGCTTCTTCTGTTTTGGGCTGGAAACCTCAAATTATTATTCACCGAAAACGTTCCAGTATTCATTCATTCACGGAGAATCCCCTTATCATGGAGCCCCCTCTCTTCACGGAGACCGGTGAAATGCTTCACTCCAGCAAAGAGGTGTCAATCTTCACTTGTCTTTCGATTCGATTACGATTATTGGGTCAACGATTCGATATCCCGATGCATCACGATTATTTCATATTGAATTGTTTTCATCGATAAATAGAAGATGTCAGATAATTGCTTTTTAAAATTTTATTTATTTATTTATCATCAAAAATGTAATTGACACGACCTGCCATCCCTCAAAAGCTCTCCATTAGGGCTGCTCGATTATGGCAAAAATAATAATCACGATTATGGTGACTGAAATTGAGATCACGATTATTTAGGACGATTTTTCAATTTATGTTGATTTTATTTGTTTTTATTCTGTCATAAAATTGCTCAGGGCGCAATCAGGACAACAATAAATAAGAAACAAGATAATCACTAAAATAACTCCTGATTCCCAGTATAAAAAGACCAATATACTTATAGCTCATAGTCTATGACCCAAGGGCTATAGACCTTGGTTTAACTCATTTAAGTGTAACCAGTACAGACCTAAATACCAATATCTTGCAAATACTGACAGCAAGAATTATACAGTGGCATTTATAACAAATAAATGCTAATTGATGTTCACAAAATATTGCATAACATTTATTGAGTCGTGTCAAGGTGCTGTAGGAGAGTGCACTAGCATCGTGTCCTCAGAGAGATTAGTTATTATTTATCAGCGTGAGGAACTTATCTCTATCTGTTTCTACCTTATTTATAAACTATTTATTTACAAGTCCATCAGTTAATGTAATAATTGTCCCAACCACAGCTGCACTCCCCACCCCCCAACCCGGTCTCACAGCAATCAGGGGCAAGCTGCACGTGTGTTTAGCGCGCCGCACGCGCACATTTAACCGTTTTTAGTGGCTCGGGAGTCCGCAGGTACGGTGTGTGTGTCACTCACTCTGGTTACTCCAACAGGGAGCCGGCTCTGAGAGCCGTTTCTTTAGTGACTGACACATCACTTCATCATTCCCTTTCCTAATGTTGTGAAGAACGGTCCGGAGCGCAGGCGGAGTGTTTAGCTAACCTGCAGGAAATGTCGACGACAGTTATCCAGAAAGTAGCTAAGGGTTACCAGAGATGTTTCTGAGGTGTTCGCTAGGTACTTTTAAGATTTAAAGAGTCAAGAAGGGGGTCTGAAAAGCTGCTGGAAATAGCGTCAAAGTCGCTAAGTTGGCAACACTGTGGGAGGAGCGCTTCATTTGCAACTCAGGGCAGCGCAAGCGGGAGGAGCAAATAATCGGCTTGTTTTGTTTTTTATAATCGTTCAAAACTCAGATCGTAATCGTGATTAAAATTCGATTAATTGAGCAGCCCTACTCTCCATCCACAACAGGTTAGGACAAAACATTTTAAACATTTAAGAAGATTTAACTAAGTAAAAACATCTGTTTCCTCATTCAACACCACGCCTCAGGCTGAGAAAACACGCTTTACAAAAACTCACAAAATCTGAAAAAATACTGAAAACCTACAGGACACATAATGTAATAGTAAAATACATAATGGGTTAATATGAATGTTTAATGTCTCTGAGCAGATCTAGTCAAATATTTATGCCACAGTTCAAGGGTGTCAGAAATAACACCAAATGAAATGTTTGACTTAGTTTATTTCATTTGAACCCAGTGGTTCATTTCTGAAATGTTGGAGAATGAATCAAGTTCTGTTTGATGCAGAAAATAATAAAACATAAAACAAATTCTACACTCCAATAATATTTAAGATGGGTGTTCTATTCTTTCTGATAACACCAGCAGAAGGCTGTAGGCTGGATTAGGATTAAAAGGGATTGGGGGGGGGGTGTCGTGTCGTGTCTCCGTGAGAGGGGGATTCTCTGTGAATGAATTAATACCGGAACATTTTCGGTTAATAATAATTCAGGAAGATGGCGGGATCAAGGAGTAAAATAGTTTACAGTTTTTAAAAAAGTTTCCAGCCCAAAAAAAGAATAAATAGCAGGTGTGATCTGATCAGGCGGATGAACTGTCAGTGAAGGCTTTCACATCACAACTAGAGCAGGGTATTGCACAACTCCGCCGCTCCTGGTTTCTCCACTGATTGCAACTTCTTTTCTTCTGCGTATGCGGGTCGCTTTGGGGTCGTGAAGCATTCATACTTGAGAGAGTTTGATGTCGCATTTCAGACAGTGTGACACAAAATAATCAGATTTACTCAAAAAATCTGAAATGAGCATCAAGGCCTGCAGTGTGGACATAGCCTTAGACTCTTCAAACCCGAACAAGATTATTCTACAATAATGGCAAAATCCATAAATGACACATGGCAAATTGTGAAACCTTTAGTAGATTAGTGAAAGTCCAAAGAGGGCAACTTTCTTCAGTGATGTATTGTGAGTTTGGATTATTAAGTTGGCAACATGTTTTTTGAGTACTACAGGTTTATCATCAGTAAGCTATGTTTATTTCAAGAGTGTATATTGGTCACCCACAAAATTAAACATTTTATAATTAGAGCAGATTA